TACCCTTTCCTTTTGTTTGGATTTCCTCCTGAAAATCAGCAGTGCGCTTCCCAGTATGCGAAGGTGCATAGAGCGCCATAGCTGTATTATTACAGTGTGAGATTGAAGGCCTCTACCAAGATGGCCTCTCCACACAGAGACACAGTGTAGAACAAAGTATGGTAGGTCAGTAATGGAGAAGATCAGCTGCAAGGAGGTCACAGGCAACACTTGAAAGTCCTTTGCCCCCTGCCTGCCTTCTTTTCAGTACAGTTTTAAAAGTTTAGTTCTGCTTTACTAACATAAGTCCTTTTCTGCAGTAAACTGTAAAGGCAAATTCCATTCATATGGCAGCGCAAATAAAAAAAAAAACAAAAACATACACTGGAATTCAAATATATCATGCACTCCCTTACACTGACTCTGCTAAAAACTAAAGGCTTGTGCATACTTTACAAAAGGTAAGTCATGCTTTTATGCAAAATTTAGTAATGTTGGTGTTCCTATGTGTTCATAATTTAAAAAGACATTTAAGAATTAGGTATACTGTAGTTCAACATAAATTTAAGATATCTTACAGAAGAATTCCAGACACTGGCATGTTATACATTATCAATTTTGGACCACCGCAGCCATGTATATACCATACCTGGCTGATACCCCTGGTAGCTGGAAACCACTGAAGCAGACACTGCTACTCCAGTGATCACCACTTGTTTCTGGGTGACATGCTAAACAGCCAGGCTGAAGCATTGTGAATACAGTAGGTTGCGTACTCAGCATGGGTGCCATTTAGAGAACACTTTGCATTTTCTGAATGAAGGCAAAAGCGCTCTTTGATTGGATGATATGTAGAAGCAGGGCGGTGACACCATGCTCTTCATCTTGTCCAATTTAGAAAATGCAAAGCATTCTTTGAATGGCGCCTGTGCCAAGCAGCCAACCTCCTGGGTTCCAAAAACAGGAGAGCAGCAGGTTCCAGAAGCAAGTGGAGAACAGTGAAGTAGCAGTATTTACCGCAGTGATTTCCAGCCTCCAGTGCCATTGGCTAGGTATGGTAAATACACAGCTATATTGGACTATTTATATGTGTTAGAATTTATTGAGCGCTTGAGCATAATTGCACCTTTTGAAGGTTTTGATTTTTCATTCATGAATTTTTTGAGACATTATAATTATTGAATGATACATGAATTGGTGCTGCACTTGATATTCAAATAGAGTTCACATATTGTGTAAGCACTGCTCATTTTCTTGTTGATATGGAAGCCAAAGAACATGCTCTTACTAGAGAGAGGTTGTCTATCATCTAAGGACACTAGCAAAAAAAAAACTGAGGATTGATAGGTGCGGGAGGAGTAAATTGGGCTGTCCTAACAGCTTTGTTTACCAGTGTCCTACCTGAAGGTGGCAGAATATAACCCATGTCCAAGACAGAAAGGATCCTATGTCCTGTATTGTAGGCTTAAAAGTTAAGGCATGCATGTTAGCAGCAACCTATCCAGAAGCTGCAATAATATGATGCAGCAAGGAGAAGGGATTTCTCCATCTGAAAAACCAAAAGTAGTCTTCAGTTCCTCAGTGAAATCAGAATTATAAACCAAAAGCGTTCTCTCAGGAGAGAGACTGAGGAGTGCTGAGAGTGGAAGGGGCTAATTGGACTGTACCAGTGTCCTACCTGAAGGTGGCAGCATATAACCCATGGTCAGGACTTAAAAGGAGCCTGTGGCCTGTACTGTGCGTTTAATTGAAGCATACTTGTGATTTTTTTTGATCTATACTCAGTAGTGATGTTATCAACTGGGGTGGGGTAAAACACATATTGTCAAAATACAAGGTATGTATATTCTTCCTTAACTCTTGGTATCCTTTGTATAATTCTGTGAAGTAATCTATCACAAAATAACTCCTGCACTTTTCCTTTGTACAAGAGTTTTCCCTAGTAATGACTGTTACTGGTTGCGGTCTTTTGACCAGTAGATTTCTAATGGCAGCCTGCAGTGGGAGAACTTGATGTGGATTGTTTGGTCTTTCCTGGGACATTTAGTTTTGAATGGAATAGTGAGGTGTTTGAACCTCATCCTCTCTGTCCCAGTGACACTGTCCTTCAGAACTGGTATCAACAAAAAAGGGATAGAAATATTCTCACAAGGAAATTTATAACACTGACAAACGTCTCCGAAAACTATCCATGCTTTAAAAGAAAGTCAAAACTTCAGATAAACTTTAATAAAAGCCTACCTTCCACATTCAGCATTCTGTCAGTTTGAGTGAGAATTTTTGTGCTACCTGTTGATTACGGATTGTGGTCATTATGGAATAACCAAGCATATGTATTCAAAGCCCTTCTGGCTGCCTTTCCAGGCTATGTACATCTGATCCCTTTCCAACACTGAGAGGTCTTAAACTCCAAGCCTGCTCTTTACCTGAGGCTCTAAGAAGAGTAGTGGTGCCTCTAGGTCATAACTTGTCTATGACTCATATTTCCTGAACAGAGAGCAGAGTAGCTACACAGATTCACTTACAGCCAGAGGCACAAATCAGGTACTAATGCCATCAGTAATTATGAATCATCCAATTCCCAGACCAATCCACAGCATAGCAGTGACTCAGCAGAGTCAGCAAATAACCCATTGAGTGCCAGCAAGAATATTGGGAAAATTAAAAACTGGAGTAAATATTTTTTGAAGTTCAAAACAATTGATATTTATTTTTTCCTGTTCAAATAATTTTATTGATAGATAACATTGAGGGTACAAAGAGTACTCAAGAACATTTAGAGTTATCAGTTGCCTCTGTGCAGGGAAAAAGATCATAAAATAAACTAGTTTATACGATAAACTAAATGCTCACCAAAATTAGAGCAAAACCAGGATTCTATCAATCTAAGTTGTGAAAGAGCATGAATAGCAATATAAATCGGAGTTTATTGTAACTATTAAAATGGTTACTGAATGCCCCTCCCCAGCCATAGCTCAGGGATAATAACTATGGGGCAAATGGCACCCATGGAAATCCCTAGAGGGTAAGAAAGAGTGGGGGTTGGGTTTCTTGGACAGTCGTGTCATTCTAATTGATATCTATAACTGTAGTTGTATGAGGGCTCAGGTGCAGGGCTCCAAAAGAGTGTTATCAAATTTGGGGGGCGGAGTTTGCCAATCCAAGGCTGCCAGACTTTCAAGTGATATTTTTTTTTTATCTCATAACCAAGTTGACAAAAAGTACACTAATATTTCTAGTGACAGCTATTGTAAACATTGATGTTCAGTCTTTCAACTGAAATGCCAGTACCAGATTCAGTCACTGGTAGTGTACAAATTTAAGTTTTTGTGTTTTTTTCCCTGAGCAGAGATATCCTGTATGTAAATGGAAATCAACGAAAAGCTAAATTAAAAAGACCAGACTGCAGCGCATGCACACACATGCAAAAAAACACTCGGTGGCATCTGCTGATGTCATAGGTTCAAGGAGCTCTCACTTCTTGGAGACCCAGGAGCATTCTTGTGTTGAATGTGGGAATACAGGGATGACCAACATCCTTTGACACTCCCTGGCTACAAATAAACTGGAAGCCACAGGCTGAGCTGAGACCTGTAGGTTCATTTGTGCATGGTGTCTTGTGCATGACTCAAACCTGTGGATAGCTTTGCAGAATGTAGCAGGAAGAGAGGGCTGCATTACATAGAATGGCGGGATCACAAGGATTTTTTGCAATTTGTAAACTTAAGTAAACAGGCTGCGCAGTTTAACACACTAAGTTACATAGGTTGAAAAAAGAAGCACAAGTCCATCTAGCTCAACCAACAGAGTACAATAAAGTGCCATTCCAGTCATAACCTAGCTAGTGCTAAACCTACTCCCAAACCCATTCTAAGCCTAAATCTATCTAACCCTGTAAAGAAAAGATTGATATACTTAACAATTCTGAAGCTGCTCTGGTCCGGTCTCCAGCGGCGGTATCAGTATACAGAAAAAAAGCTGACAACAGCTGGGAAATGCCTACGAGATGACACACCCATAGAGTTACTATAGGGCATCTGTTGTCGGCTGGCACTCAAGCACACAGAAGCTACCGCTGAGCTCAGCCTGGGACGGGACCAGAGCGGCTTCAGAATTGGTATGTATAGCGAACTTTTCTTTACAGGGTTAGATAGAATAGGCTTAGAATGGGGATAGGAGCAGGTTTAGCATTAGCTAAAGTGTTACTAAACCCACAGAAGTAAAATCAGTCCTTTTATGCAGTAAGGCATGCTTGTTATTCTCGCTACGGAACCTAAGGGCTTAATCCTCCGCATTGTGTAAAAAGGATGGTTTATTCTGTCTTCTCTGATCCTCCCCTTCTCTCCAATCCATCTGCTGATAGAACAGAACCTTTTGGGAAAGCTGCTCAGTTTGGTGTGCATTGCTAGAGAGGTTTATTTTATTTTTTTCTTGGGAAACTGCATGTGATCGATGCAGGGCCAATCAGCGCTGTCCAGATAGAGGGTCAATGGTTATGCAGCCTCATAGGGCAATCAGGGGGAAATGAAAACTCTTTCTAAAATGATTAATCAGTGCTCTGTTGGACACTAACAAAATTCCCAAGACTGCTGATGAGAAAAGGCAGTTTATATTTACTATAATAATTGCATTTCCATGTTCTGTGTACTGTGGGAGACCAAATATATTGAATGCAGGGTCCTGGGTATAATGACACTAAGGTATGACTGGAACCAAAGAATAACAAAAAATGGATCCTGACCCATATGTACAGTATCTCTCAGAAGTGAGTACACTCTCACATTTTTGTAAATATTTTATTATATATTTTCAATACACAGCCATTAATGTCTAAACCACTGGCAACAAAAGTGAGTACACCCCTAAGTGAAAATGTCCAAATTGGGCCCAATTAGCTATTTTTCCCTCCCTGCTGTCATGTGACTCGTTAGTGTCACAAGGTCTCAGGTGTGAATGGGGAGCAGGTGTGAAATTTCGTGTTCTCGCTTTCACTCTCTCATACTGGTCACTGGAAGTTCAACATGGCACCTCATGGCAAAGAACTCTCTGAGGATCTGAAAAAAAGAATTGTTGCTCTACATAAAGATGGCCTAGGCTATAAGAAGATTTCCAAGACCCTGAAACTTAGCTGCAGCACAGTGGCCAAGACCAAACAGGGGTTTAACAGGACAGGCTCCCCTCAGAACAGGCCTCACCATGGTCGACCAAAGAAGTTGAGTGCACATGCTTAGGGTCATATCCAGAGGTTGTCTTTTGGAAATAGACGTATGAGTGCTGCCAGCATTGTTGCAGAGGTTGTAGGGGTGGGGGGGGGGGGGTCAGTCTGTCAGTGTTCAGACCATACACTGCACACTGCACTAAATTGGTCTGCATGGCTGTCGTCCCAGAAAGAAGCCTCTTCTAAAGATGATGCACAAGAAAGCCTGCAAACAGTTTGCTGAAGACAAGCAGACTAAGGACATGGATTATTGGAACCATGTCCTGTGGTCTGATGAGACCAAGATAAACTTATTTGGTTCAGATGGTGTCATGCAGGTGTAGCAGCAACCAGGCGAGGAGGACAGTCAAGCATGGTGGTGGGAGTGTCATGGTCTGGGGCTGCATGAGTGCTGCCAGCACTGGGGAGCTACAGTAAACTGAGGGAACCATGAATACCAACATGTACTGCGACATACTGAAGCAGAGCATGATCCCCTCCCTTCAGAGACTGGGCCGCAGGGCAGTATTCCAACATGATAACGACCCCAAACACCTCCAAGACAACCACTGCCTTGCTAAAGAAGCTGAGGGTAAAGGTGATGAACTGGCCAAGCATATCTCCAAACCTAAACCCTATCGAATATCTATGCAGCATCCTCAAACAGAAGGTGGAGAAGCGCAAGGTCTCTAACATCCACCAGCTCCGTGATGTCGTCATGGAGGAGTGAAAGAGGACTCCACTAGCAACCTGTGAAGTTCTGGTGAACTCCAGGCCCAAGAGGGTTAAGGCAGTGCTGGAAAATAATGGTGGCCACACAAAATATTGACACTTTGGGCCCAATTTGGACATTTTCACTTAGGGGTGTACTCACTTTTGTTGGCAGCAGTTTAGGAATTAATGGCTGTCTGTTTAATTATTTTGAGGGGACAGCAAATGTACACTGTTATACAAGCTGTACACTCACTACTTTACATTGTAGCAAAGTGTCATTTCTTCAGTGTGGTCACATGAAAAGATATAATAAAATATTTACAAAAAATTTGAGGGGTTATACTCACTTCTGTGAGATACTGTATGAGGCTGTGCTTTCTTTTATGCATGAATAAGGATAGATTATGTTTCAGCTCTGTAGAAATCACTGCAGCACTATGAAGTCTCAGAGCAATAACATGAGAGGATAAAGTCATAACCAAGACTATGCAGGCATTGCATGCAAAAAAAAAAAAAAAAAAAACAAGCCGGCAGTATAAAGCTGCAATCACCTGCTCCTAACAAAGAGTATACATAATCCAAGGTCATACTATGCAAAGAACTGTCAGTGAAGAATATAAATATCTCTTGCAGACTAGACAACTGTGCAAAGCATGAGAATTATATTACACCAAAGTGTCATTTCTGACGGGGAAAAAGGGTCCTATAGCAACAGACTTTGTGTATCCTTTGTTCCACCCAGCTCAGTTATTAAACTTATATATTTTATTTTAAATACTTTTACTAAATACTTTACTAATTTTGTTAAACATTATATCATAAAAAAATAAAAATACACAATTAAATATTAAATTTATTTAAATTAAATATATAAAATAAAAATAAAAATACTACAAAAATCAAAACAAAAAAAACACAAACATATATTTAAATATAAAAAAAAAATAAAAATAATCAATACAAAATACTATAAATTCACACAAATTCTAAATATTACACAATAATATATCATTTTTAAAATATAAATATATAATTCAAAAAAACATATATTATATTACAAAATTTATTTTTCATATAACAACACCAATATATATATATATACCAATAATATATAACATATAACACAAATACACATTCATATATAAAATAAATATAATATATATATATAAAATAAAAAAAAATAACTTATAATAAATAATATATTATATATTAACAAAAAAACATACACATAAACAAACACAAATAAATTCAATATATATATATATCTAATAAATAAATTTAAATAAATATTTATAAACCAAAAAAAAAATATTTATATTAAATAAATTTATATAAAATAAAAATTAAACATAAAAAATATTACACAATTTACCCCAATAATACATAAATATATAACAATTATAAAATATATATACAAACAAAACAAACAAAAAATAAATATATATATATACAACAAAATAAATATTTAAATAAACAAAAACTAAAAATATAAAAATATAACAAATATCTAAAAAACCCAAAAATATAACATAACAAACACAAGAATAAATTCTTTAATATAAATATATTGTTACAAAAATAACTTTTTTGAATAAAACACACACAATATTACAACACAATTATCTATAAATATTTTCGAAATATTTAAAATTTAAATATACAAAATATATAAAATTAAAACATTAAAAATATAAAATACAAACAATTAAATAAAAAATACAATCACAAAAAAAAATATTAATATATAATATTAAAAATAAAAACACAAAATTACAAAAATACAATATAAAAATTTCCCAATACACACTAAATACTATAAATAATAAAATAATTAAAAATATAATAAATTATAAAAACACAATATTAATAAAATATATTTAAAAAATATTTTATAAGCAAACAAATAATTCAAAATAATATATATAAAATACACACAAACCAAGGACATAACAACATAATAACACAATATAAATTTTTAAAAACAAATATATAATCATTAACATAAATAAACACACACAAAAAAATAAAAAAAAAAATAATTAAAATAAAAATAAAAAAAAAAAAACAAAACAAAATATAATTTAAACAAAAAATACAAACAAACAACCAAAAACAAAAAAACTAAAATTCACTGCAAATGTAACATATACTGTGACGGGGAGAATTCTGATCATTTTAAAATAAAAAAAAAAAATACAAAAATTCACACAACAAAAAAATAATATCAAATTACAAACATTTGTGTAAAGGATAAGTGTTCACATCCTTAATGCTGTTATCTTAAAACATGTTTCAGTACACCACGGTTACCACTCCTGTTGCCGCTGTCCACACCACTCCCTGCATCTAATGGGAGATTTCTCCCCCCGTTCACTTTCACTATTTAAAAAAAAAAAAGTTCTGTGAATGGGAAACTACAAGTACTGAAGTCTTTGCGGCTGTCAGCTTGTAGTTCTCAATGAACCATCATGGAGCTGTTGAGTGCTCTGGTAGTTCATCATCTTTTCCTGTCAGTGTGTATCTGCCAGATACACTGACAAGTCTGCAGGAGTCCTGCCTGGCATCCACAATGCTTTAGTAAAAAATAAATGCACATTTTTTTACCTGCAAAAAGATGTGCATTTATTTGTTTTTAAAGGTGAACCTATCCTTTAACCACTACAGCACATTACAACCATTCAGAGACCGGAAGATGACAGGCATCCCTGTGAAGATTTCCTCATGATCCAGCTGCCTGCACAACGTGGGACATACTTCATTACAGGCAAGTGATGTGTCTTAAAATTGTTAATTGTTTAAATTTGTTAGTCAAGCATGTGTAAATCTAACAGCACTACTAAATCTCCCAAGGTTGAAATACAGCTGTCAAAAGGTGTCTCTGTTGCTCCTCCTGGAAGTGGTTTCACCTTAAACAGGAAGTGTGTTACTGGCCAGATTGCCAGGTGAAATTAAAGGGGAAAAAAAAAACAAGCCAAAAAACTAATGCAGCCACTACATTTAAGGACTGGTAAGCTGCAGTAAATTAATTGTTTTTTTTAGTTTAATACTGTTTTAAAGATACAGATGTTTGTTTTTACTGCTTGTGCACAATATGTAAATATTTGCATGATGTGGGTACAGGTTCTTTTTAAAAATAAGTAAACTGCTAAAATCATAATATAAAGAACAGCATGTTAGCCTTATTTATCCAAATGTTTTTCAAATAATAGTCTGTATTCACCTAAATAAACCAGATTCCAAAACCCATCCTGAATCTGTTTGCTTTGCTCTCATGCAAGTTGCTGTGATAACTGAGGTCAAGTGTATCTTTATTAGGGCAGGCATGACAGTTCATGCAGCTTGTAAATGAGTCATTACACAAGTAGGTTGGTTTAATAATACATTTTAAAGGGGTTTTGTAAGACTCAGAGAAATATTAATATACCCCCTACAGGTACATTTCTAATACAATGCATGTTAACTAGCTTACATCTTCTGCCATTTTTTCCTCATATCAGATATCGGTCTGTTGTACATGCAGAACTTCTCTTGAACACAGGATAACATTTGCCTGTCCTTGGAGTTACTGCTCAAGCCGTAGAACCTGTTATGATCCAAAACGGACTCCTTTTGTATGTTACTGGCATTTCCATGCTGATACTTGTTCCCTTTCCTCCATATGAAAGGGAATTACTGGCATCTACTTGCCATCCATCCTCAGGGATCCCTGGGCTCCCTCACATCAGACTCTTAACCCGCTGGAGCCCTTGGCAGACTCCTCTACCTCTGGTAGAGATACCTAGCAGCTGCGACCTGGTCCCAGAGCGCTCCAAGTCCATCCCCACCATCAGGGGCCCTGGTGAACAAGTGCTCCGGTACTTAGACTCCGCACTCTGGGGAGGCTCTATCAGGGAACTGATAGAGGTACTGTCAGGCGGTCCGTTACAGCTACATTTCTCATCTTATGGTGCTATGATCTGCACCAAAGAATGTAGAGCAGTAGTTACCTTAGGGAAAAGTCAGTTCACCTGCAACTAATTTCAGTTTTTGATAAATACTGGAGAGTTCGCACCCAGCTTCAATGTGATGAGCGCAGTCAAATACTCCAGAATGGAAAGGGCTTCACTATAAACATTGACCACCATTCTACCCAGTGTTATTACGTAAACCTAGTCTGTGCAATGACACTAAGCCAGAGGGGGGAGGTTAGTGACAATATGGGCAAAAGAAAATGCTAGAACATGCAACATGTATGGAATTCCCAAAATTTTAAGGTGGACAGACTGGGAATCATAGCATGATAATATCCCTGTTTAAATATATAGAGATAATCTGTGAACTGTGTTTTCAACTACTAAACTAGCAGCATAAATGATACAGCATAGTTGTAACAAATCTGTGTTTGAATGTATAATGCTAGCAAACCATAAGAATGTTCATGCCCATTCTTATCTCAATGGGCGAAGTTCACCTTTTCCAGATGATAATCTATGCAATCAAGAGGTATAGTAGCTTTAAATAAGGCCTTATTCACATGCAGCATATGAACCTGTGCCCCGCGTGAGGGCTGTGTTTACAGGCACAAGGATGGAAAGGTATTCAGTACATCTTCATGCAAGCAGTCCCATTATTGTCAATTGGGACACAGCAGCTGCACAGACACAACTGCTGCTCCCAATGTGACATCAGTGCAGGTGCCTGGCCCTGAATGCACCC